GAGAAATCCAGCCCTGTGGCCCAGAGGGCGTAAAACCCAGCCCTTTTCAAGACGAAATGGACGCTGAGATACGCTGAGAAATTCAGCCCCCCGGGCCTCGACCAACGGATTTTTATACAGCCCTCGCCCTGTAACTAAGAAGCCAAAAAGCCAAAAAGGCTAAAAAGGCAAAGGAACCGGCTGGCTGGGAGCCACCAAGTTCCCAACTCAGCCCCCCTCCCCCCGAAAAAAAATGGGTTGGTTTCCCTTGGGCTTCAAGACACGCCAAAACGGAGGCGATCTGCGCCTGAGAAGAGGTGCTCCACCTGCTTGCGCAAGCGGTCTTTGGTGAAGACCTCGAACCAGCAGCGACGAGCGAAAAACGTGCGATCGGTGCGAAAGGTAGGGAACAGGGTTGTGGGATCAAGGGGTTTCTCCCCACTTCTGTGATACAAAATAGTCGTTGGGAAGCCCTTTCTGTTGTATCACAGAAGTGGTCATTCCCCACAGCCCTGGTAGGGAACGACCGAGTCTGTGTGTTGGGAATGAACTTAGGGGCCCTTTGAAGGAAACCAAGGGATGGTTTATAGGGGTCAATCCATTTCTCATTCCCTGCTGAGCACCAGCAAGTAGACCCAGGCATCTGTTTTCAATTGGTAGCTTCCAGATCCACTCTTTCCAGCAAACCTTCTTTCTAGAAAACCACCCCAAAACTGTGGGGAAACGCATGGTTCTTGAAAAGAACGATGGCTGAAAAGAGTGGGAAGCAACCCCTAGATCTTTTGAAGAAATCTCCAATCTTTTTTGTCTACCTCGGGATGCCCTGAAAAACATAGAGACGCCGGATTGCCGTGGATTGGTTTGGGTCATCGTCGTCATCCCAAGGCGCGTCGTCGTCATCCCAAATGGCAATTACCTGGCGGAAGGGCCAAGGATCATAGTATGGGTCAAAATTAAACCACCACCAATTGGAACGCAGGTTTTAATTTCCTTGTTGTCATTTACCAGGGCAAGCCATTTCGGGGTTACCCCAATTCTTGACAACCACACCCAAGTTTGGATTAGTCTTTAGTTTCCTTGCTCGCTTTTTTCTTGGGTAGCTCGTCTGCCGCTGAACAACTGCCAAACCAAATGGTGATTTGCTCTAATCAGCTTCCCCCTAGTTGGTTTCGGAAGGGTTTCCCATGAACCCTCTACAAAAGCCAATCCCCAAGCCACCAATCCAAACCGCAAGGTGGGCACAAGCCAACAAAATCGTGGGATCACAGTATTTCAGCTTCCCTCCAATTGGTGGTTTGGAGCCCAGTGGTTTGGTGGTGTTCCGGAGGGGTAAAGCCCGCTTACCCTCCCCTTCAAATCCGAATCCACAAACCAACCTGGCGGGTTGCCCTGGGATGCTGGCGAGCCGTTTTCAGGGCCAAGCGCAAGATCGCCCTGAAACTTGGAGAACACCAACACAGCCAGAAGGACTAAGACTGTCCAGTAAATTGACCGTCCGCGAATTTAGCCCTTACAAAGCACGAAAGGGGGAAGAAAAAAACGTAAAGGAAAATCATCCCCGAACCAAACTAAAGCAAAGGAGAAGATGTGTTGGGAGAGTTGGTTTTAGGCTATCCCAAGAACGGGTCTATGAGAGAAATCCACAAGGACCTCAGGGGGCTGAAGCTGAGCTCTCAGCCACATTCATGGCTAACACACAAGCAACGCCAAAGGCCAATCCTTATGAGGTTGTCATTGGCTGATCTGGCTTTACCCCCTTCCCCCCCGAAGTAAGCCAAATGGCTTGCAAAACTAAACGCGCGACCGCTTGCAGCAGCTGCCTTAGGCTACAACACTTTGTTCACAAGCGCCCGCCTCTGCCCTTGCGTTGCGGATTCCGAGGTTCCGCTTTGCACCGATGCCTTCCACAAAGCGGCGGACACTGCGCAACCGCGCCAGGGTTACCTAAAGCAAAACCATGCTGCCCACACGGCCGCCTCAGGCGCAATGAAACATAGCACTTGTTTTTCTTCAGGGAACGAACCTCTCCACCTTGCTCGTCACGATCAGTTGCTCAGTTATGCACAGACACACACACACACACACACCCTCGGACGACCCAACAACCCCAAATGCCACGCAACAGCTGCGACCCCTCGAGAATTCCCTGTTCGCTTGGCCCGGGGCTCATCCGCTCCGGCAGGTAGATGTAGTTGATGCGAACTTTGGCATCTTGCCTGGAGCTAAAACCAACACTTAGGACTTGTGTAGAAAGCGAGAGCAACGGGCCAAGAGCAAGCGCAGCCGCCATGCAGCGCAGTGCGACCGAGCTCTCTAGAACTGCAAGCCTGTGATTGCCTGCCAAGTTGCAACGCCTCAATGTCTTCACGCTGGTCTTCTGGGCTGTCGTCCACCACAACCACTTCAACGTCCCCACGGTAGCGCTGTCGCTTCACTTGCTCCAAGGCCTGGCGGCTGCGACGCCGGGGACGCATCATTGCTTGCTAACATGGCTGCGGCGAACGGCCTCTCGCAGCAAAGCTGCGCGCTTGTAGGTCACCATCTGAACCTCAAGCAGCAACCGCAGTTGACAAGCTAAGCACCCGAGCAAAGCAGGCTACACGCGCGTTTTGCGGCATCGCCGGCTAGCGCAGCCGGACGAAAGGCAAGCAAGCTTCTGACGCTTGGGCTACCCTGATAGCGCGCAGCCCTCGAAACATTAGGCCATTAGGCTTGCAAGGCTGCAGCAATTCCTGGTTGAGACCTGGCTGCTGCGCCTCACGCGCCAGGCCTGCAATCATCCATGATAACTCAGCTCGGAGATTGCGATGCGCCTGCATTCTTGGTGGCGTTTGTTGCGACAGGTCCACCAAAATACGTGTAGAACGGCGATTCCTGCATGCGTTTCGGTGTGTAGTTTGCACATTGATTCAGCCCATGCGCACCCCACAAATGTTTTGGTTGGATCTCCATGCTAAGAGGGTTGTCAAGACATGAAAGGAATAATGGTTCAAAATCATTTCTCTGGCTAAATTGTCTTCTAACTTTTTCGTGTTAAGACGGTTTGATCTACGATTCAGGGAAGAAGAGAGAAAGGGAAGTTCCTTTCATCCACACATTCCCCAACCGCCTGCCTCATATTCTAAGGCTCGAGCAGACGGGGGGTGAAAGGAAAAAGAAATGAGGTAGAAGGCGTGTAATCACCATCCGCAGTTTGGGTCAACAAAAAAATCGTATTGTTTTACAAAAAAGACACATCAAATTTGAGAAAAACAGAAAACCAAGACTGCAAACACCAACTTTTTTGGGCCTGCCCCTTTGGGGTCTGCACTGTCACTCGTTGTTGCTCGGCGTTTTTTGTAGTTCAGTGTTTTTAGTTTTATACTGCTTTAAGGCTTCACGGCTTCTCATTTTGCCGTTTTTAACCTTCTGCGCCGAAAGAATGTTCAGCCCGTGCCCATGTGCGCGCGCGCCGCTCAATGGTTGGGTGTGGATTTATGCGTGCAGAACTCGGAAGGGGCACTAGTTCATTGCGTTGAGGTCTTGGTGGCCATTCATCACAGCCTGGGTTGGCAAAAGTCCAGTTCCTGGGGGCTGTTCTTGACATGTGTTTGGGCCCAACCACAAGGTCTTAACAGGTCAAATGGGGTCAGAGACAACAATAAATAAATAGTTACATATTATTATGTATTAAACAAAAAGAAAAACGGGCCCCCGCATTCTGCTTGCGTTCAGAGCAGCGCTGACTGAAGGCCATCGCTGAAAGGGTCTGCCCACTGCCAGGCCAAGCTCTGCCAGGCAAAGCGCCAGCAGAAGCATGGCGAAGCAGCTCACTTTGCCATCCGGAAGCGCAGGCGGAGCGATACAAGGTCCCCCCCTCAAGGACACCACCAGGATGGTGAAGTTGGGTTCTATGTCAACTAGCTCCTTCAGATTTGAGAGGTTAGAATAAGGGTTCCCACTTTTTTCTGCTTTGTCCATTTTAGTAGGGAAACCCTCCCAACGGTAAAAGGGGCACCTAGCTGGGCTGGGCGACCTAGACAAGGTCAAACGTCATCTCTGAGGCAAAACATGATTTGAGCTTGGCAAGGTTTGTGCTAGCCAATTTGGGGGGGTCATGTTCAATGAAGTCGGAAGCCGCACCAGTCCTGCGCTGTGATTCGCGTGAAGGTGATCTAGAGAACATTGCTTCCCGTTGTGTGAAGGAAAGCCACACTATGTAGCCCCACTACGTAGTCGGCATGCGTTGGACACTGAAAAATGAGGGGCCCATGGCCAAGGTAGGGCTGTGGCTCAAAAAACCGGAATTCCAAAATGGGTTGCCCAATCGGTAAGTGGAAACATGGACCAAGACCTGCGGTTTGCCCCTGCGATCGTTTAATTTTGAGCCATCTGCGTATCTTTCTGAGCTGAGTTCGTGGCGATGAAGTTTGACCCGGAAAGACGGCTGCCGGGGCCCGCTTTGAAGGAGTCCCACCAAATTCACCCCCCCCCCCCAAATCCGGAATTGTCATGTCATTGTCATTTTCTTTGAAAGTTTGACCCACAAAGATGGCGAAGCCCGCGGCCCGCTGCGGGGTTTCCCCATCGCCGCGCTTACACAAGCCGAGACTTCAGGACGCCGGGAGTCCCCGAGGCCACCGCCCACCAGAAAAAGCTGCCCCTTGACGTGGCTTGCTGGACGTTAGGGGAGCAAAAATTGTAAAAAAAAAGCAGTTCAGTGGCTGGATTTTAAACTTTAGCAGTTTGGTGGATTTGGATTTCAACCACTAGACCACAAGAAGCAAAAATGTAACATGTTTCCCAACAACCATCATGTAAGGGCTTCGTCTAGTTTCCAGGGATGTTTGAAGCTTCCAGGTCAATGCGAAAGACACCACTCTGGGCGAGCTCCTGTCAAACCACCAGTTGGCACACACACACACACGGGAAAAAAACAAAAACAACTCCGCTCGCTCCTTTGCCGTGGCGGCAAAAAAAACGAGAAACAATGCCCATCCCCCGCGGGGGCCCATCCCCCGCGGGGGCCCATCCATGCGGTCCTGGATATCCCTCTCCTGCCACTCTTGCATGCCTGGCAGTTGACTGGATTTTGGGGTTACCTTGAACTGGCGCATGTGACAGCCCAAAAAACGGTGCAGCGATCATTGAAGGCGAACAAGCACCTGAGCTACTCGTCTGGGCTGGGCTCCGATCCCCTGCTCAAAGTGACGAACTTTTTGCGGGTAACATGGAAAGTACCAATTCACTTAACCACCCAAAAAGCTGAACGCTTAAGGAACCGGATGGCTGGGACAAAACCAAGCCGCGGTATTACCTTATTCAGACAAGGGGTGTCGCCACAGGTAACATGTTCTCAACACAACACACATGTAGCAGACCCGCATCAAATCAGGTTCTGGCCCAGCACAATCCATGTTGTATTGATCGCAAACTCTTTCTTTTTGTTCCTTCTTCTTTATTTATTTATTTCCCTTTCTTTTCGTGTCCTTCTTTCTTTCTTTCTTTCTTTCTTTCTTTCTTTCTTTCTTTCTTTCTTTCTTTCTTTCTTTCTTTCTTTCTTTCTTTCTTTCTTTCTTTCTTTCTTTCTTTCTTTCTTTCTCTCTCTCTTTCTTTCTTTCTTTCTTTCTTTCTTTCTTTCTTTCTTTATTTTTTCTCCTTCTTTTCCTTATTTCTTTCCTTCTGTCTTTCTTTCTTTCTTTCTTTCTTTCTTTCTTTCTTTCTTTCTTTCTTTTTTTCTTTCTTTATTTCTTTATTTCTTTATTTCTTTCTTTATTTCTTTCTTTCTTTTCCTTCTGTCTTTCTTTCTTTCTTTCTTTCTTTCTTTCTTTCTTTCTTTCTTTCTTTCTTTCTTTCTTTCTTTCTTTCTTTCTTTCCTTCTTTTCCTTCCTTCCTTCCTTCCTTCCTTCCTTCCTTCGTTCTTTCTTTCCTTCTGCATTGATGTCTCTTCTCTCTCTCTCTCTCTGTTTCGCCAGTAAGCGAATGCCCTGGAACTGCAACCTGAATCGCTCCTGACCCTTCCTCCCTTTCAAAACCTAACAGGCATCCCTATTCAGCAAGGATCCCACGTCCGAGTTTCGGGGGCCCATCTGTTCAACCCATAGGTTTTGAGCAGACCTTGTTTTTAGCGCCCAAAGGATTGCTTGCTCGCGCAAGGATCTGCTGACTTGGTGCGGGCTTAAGCTATGGAGCTTGGAGTTTGGGAACGGTGAAAAGCACTTGTTCCACTGAAGGATCTGGGACAACTAGTGAGTCCCGGACGGTTTTTGAGGGGACATCAAGTGAATGCTCGTGTCCCTCCCAAACCGACCAGAAAATATTGGAGAGGTTGACTACGAACAAACCTTGCCAGCCTCCTCTTCCTCCGCCCCGTCCACCTGCCGCTCGATCAAGTTGATTACTTGGATGTGAAAACCCACTTCGTAGGCTATAATCTTGCTTATATAAGGCTATATGTTGTAGAATCCTGTGCAACCACTTAGTAGGCTACATGTTTAACCTTCTTTGCAGGCTTGCCAACATTGCTAACCTAACCTAAAGTCAAGAACTCTGTGGTGTTGGTTGTGAGCATGGCTCGGTCAGCAGGAGGCAGTCACAGGCTGCAGCAAATCTCTTCTCTGGATGAATCCGGACAACACCAGTCCAGGTGTCAGCGGAAAGATAAATGCTACATGTCGTCCCCAAGCATCATGAAGCCCAGCCAGGCGTCTCAAGCAAGCTCGGCCATACATCATCTTCAGGAGCCATGAAGATGAGAACAGGCACCATGCATTTGCTTGAACTTCTGTCGCCTGGGCTGTCATTTCTTTCCCCCACCCCCCATCCTGGTGAGAAGGGATGCCTGAAGCACGCCGAACCGCTGAAATGCCATGAGTGGTGAAAGCCGTGTTTCAGCACAGAAAAACGAGTCCCGCTACTCCGAATCTCCGGGTTGAAGCCTCTCTTGAATGCTTTGAAAAATTCGTTCAGGACACCAACCAGGGGTCCAGTCCTCAGCCACACCCAACCGCCCAACCCTCTCCTTCTGGCTTCTCAAAGCTTCGGGGCGGCGCCTGGGAAGCTTCCAAAAGCTTTGAACCAGCGCCCCCCAAACGAGGTGGGACACCTCTCATTGGAACAACTCGCTCCTGCGCGGCAAGTACGCCTCTGCTGTTTCATGGTAGACCCAGTAAACTTGGTTGCTGTTGACCCCCCTGCTAAAAGTTTAACTTTTTGGGGGTTTAGTGGAAAACGCCTTTGCTTCCCAAAAAGTTAAAGTCTAAAGATCCAACCCAATAGCAGTCAAGTAAACACACCGAAGGTGGCAAGTCAGTGGCCTTCGTCATGAGTCATTTTCATTCCCGGAGCGGTGATGGTCGATTATGGTTTCTCTTGTTTTTTAGGAAAAAAAACAGTGCTGTTCCCGTGCAGGCCGCATTGCTGACAGTTTCTGCAAGTCCTGTCATGCCCCCCCTTGTGCGCTAATGTCATGTGGGGGGTGATCAAAAGGTCCTTTGCATGGGAGAAAGCACTGGGAAAACGAATGTTAACCACTAAATGCGAACAGTTACGCCCCTAAATGAAATATTGATCGACCTCTATGTCTCTGGCAAGTGATTTGTGTTATGCCTGCATTTAGGCGTGCCGGTTCTTCAAGCTTCCTTCCGCTACGTTCAGCAGCAGAAAAGTGTCTTGCTCTTGCTTCAATCAAAGGATGCCCACAACTGAGCCACACCACGTGTAGATATCTCAACGAGCGCTGGCACAGAATTGCATTCAGGTGAATTCGGACAAAACATGTAAATACACCAAAGCCTGACGAACTCAGAATCTTAGGGCCGCACTGATGCACCTCCGTTGGCGCCTTGCAAGCAATCCAAAACCGTCTGGCAAGTGCTCCCTTCGCCTGGATGACGCAAATACAACTTGAATGAAAAGCCAGAAGGCACTGCAGCTCAAATCATGGACCCCTAAGGGAGGCTATGGGGAGGGGGTATCCCTGTCTCATCCTAGGCTTATCCAGGAATACCCCCATAGCACCCTCTAAGAGTCTGTGACCAGAGCAGGAATCCCGGAGGCTCACGGCAAGTAGTACTAAAACACACACGAGAAGCCCCACCCCGGACGGGCGAGGGGGGGGCGCTCAGGTCAACCATGATCCCACCATTGCGGCTTAACCATTCGTTGTCCTTGGCAAAAGGCAAGATGCCTTGAAATGCCTTGAAGGCGCAAAACGCGTGGTATAAGGACCCAGGCTGTGTTAAATCCCAGTTCGGGGGTTGCTAAAAAGCTTTGCCCCCTGCATCCGTTTGGCAATGCACACTAGTTTGTTTGCCATATCAGTTTCACCGAAGTCCTCGCATGGGTCTCCACACAGCTCGCAGCTGTCGCCATGTTGCGCCGCCACGCACTCCGTCTTTTTTCGCGCGCCGAGCTCAGCTGAAGTCCACCTCGGCCTTGCGACGCCGCCCAAGCGAGCCCCCGCAGGAAGGCGCCAACATCTCCCGCCCTGTGAGTTCTCGTGCGCCGACGAACTTCGTCTGTCGTGTGCCCACCAGCCATTAAGCCGTTGCCGTTGCCAGGGCCCTCCTTTGCGCCGAGGGCCTCCCTTGCGCCGATGTGTTGAAGACCCCGCCCAGCGGCAACCGGCGCTCCGAGCGTCTCGCGCCGTTGGAGGGCCTCTCAAAAGGCTCTTTGCCACGCGGCGAAGAGCGCTACAAGGACCCGCCACACACAAGAAACCCCGCCAGACACATTCCACCTGCAAACATGTCGCTGCCAGTGGCCAAGCTTGTCACAAGCACTTTGGCACCCTGATGGTCCAAGAGCTTCTGCCGGCTCAGCCCGTTCCATTCGAGCGCTTTCTCAGACCTCTGTGACTCAGCTCTTGCTGCACGAGGCGTGGGGCACCGATGCCGCCCAGTACAGCTGGGAAGCGCTCTGGACCAACATCCAGCCGAGGCAAACACATATCCAGGGGGTTGCAACAAAGCCTTTTGATCCCTTGTTCATTAGCTAATTTCATCTCATACAACAGCATGCGCCAACTTGGGCAAAGCCAAGTAGCATTGACGCAGGTCAAACAATCAATGCCAAAGGACACAGAATCCGCACCCACAGACAAATTTGCACTCAGGGAGATGACACCTTGGGCCGGCTTCTCAAAACTGGGCTGCCCTCAGATCCCCCGCTAAAAGTTTAACCTTTAGAGGGTTCAATAAAAACTACCACTGAACACTCAAAGGCCAAAAAGTTTAGGAACCGGATGGCTGGGAGCCACGAAAGAAAGAAAGCCAAAAGGAACCACCTCACCGCCTTGAAACGCCCCGAGCTTTTTTCTACCTCGCCTCTATCGGGAGGAGCATCGCTGAAACCGCTCCGTCGCGGCCGGCCTCCTGCAAGGTGTACAAGCGCGCAGCTCGCCCGCGTTTCTTGGAAGGGTCCCACCAAAAATGTGATATTGACATCCAGCAACCAGGTGGGTCAGCGATTTTGGGAGAGAGCAGGAGCCATGTTCTGCCTGGGCACCCTTATTTTCGAGAACCCTTATATGTCGACATGCCCTGTGTCAGCCCCACTCCTCCGCCGTCGTGTCTTCTATCCGAACCTTGGGTTTCAAAACGAGCGAACTGACATCAGGGTTGCTTGTCAATTCCATGACTGGTCCGTCTAGCGATGTTTGCACTGCGTCAAACAGCTTGAACACTCGAACAAAGTCCGGGAAAATGAATCCATGTGAGCCTCTCACAAGCATAAGTATGAGCAGAACTCTGGCCCTGCTTGTCATCGTCTCACGAACAAAAAGAGCTCCCTGCCAGGCCGGCCCTATCAAAGACTGGCGATAACTCAGTTACTCTCATGCTGTACATGGTCAAGAGACAGGCTTCCCCAGACCTTCTCATGGGACTCCCAGATGTAAATGTTTTCTTCACTTGGCCGAAGGGCCGGGAAATACAATTAGCTTTTTGGGACCTTGACTGAACATAGACCAAATTGGGAAAACCGAAAAGCCATCTCAGGTCAATTCGGTGTGGACAACTGAGCTACTGCGGGAAAACAATGGCACAACTCCGAATGGATGTCAGGAAGCGATCCGGGAATTATCGAATTGGCATGGTCGACATTGACGTCTGCGTCTCAAATCGGAGACCCGGTGTCTATGATACTATGACTCAATTGATACCTGCTTTGATCGCTTCTTTTGCGGGCAAGAATGGCAGCTCCGGTCACATATGCGTGTCTCTCTCCTTTTGACCGGTGCTCTGGTTGCGGAAATTGGCAGAGAACCCGCAAGGCAAACACCATAATCTTTTGGGGCGGTCTCCTAGATGGGGAGGTGTTGTGGGTTTAGTGGTTGGAATCACTTTTGCAGGGCCCAATTTATAAACTGGGGTGTTTTTTCCCTTAAAAAAAATGGGCGACTGCAAGATCCAAGCATGGTATGTCCATCTGTTTCGGCGAAAGCAACTATGAGCCTCGTTGCTCAACGAAGCTCAGCGAAACCCTTTCCAAGCCTTCGTCTGGTTGGGATCGATCGAAGCCATCACCTGCACAGACGCAAGCGAAAACGTAGGCGCAAGGGGCAAGGGTCCGAGAGGTAGGAGACCTGAATGACGGTGTGGTTCTTTTTTGGGACACCTTTTGGTCGGAAGGTTCAACAGGGCACCTTTCCAGAACGGGGGTTGGAGACACCTACATGAAATCGTTCACACCTGGCCTTCTCGCCCTGAATAACGCCCCTCCCTTGGTCCCCGCCTCGGTCGTCACCTCTTCTGTCGAAGTTGCCTCTGTCGACAGCGTCAGAAAAGTCCGACGGGATCCCAAGAAATTCAGGGATGCTCTCTCGCTGGAAGGGTACAAGTTTGGGCTTCTGGAAACAGAAAACCAGATTTAAACACTCACATGATTGATTGCTGGGATCGATCCGCCGGACTCTTTCTTGCAATTCCTGTGGTGGGCTATCCCTTGATAGGATCCAAATGGATGAGGATACCTTGCTTCATACCTCCAATTCCACCGACTGGCTGACCACTGCCAAAAGAAGTCCTGGCCCCAAAAAAAGTACTTCTTGCTGTTCTTGGCCAGCATGTCCCTTGGCTCACTTCATGTATGGATTAGCCAGCTTTGTTGCCCACCAAAATGATCGACCAAAAGATATCAACTCCAAGCATTCGGGCAAGCAACATTCCAACCAACTTCTTCATACTACAAGCCGTTGGCTGCAACAAAGCCAAACACCAACTAAGCCCTCCTTTCGTTTACTCCGTGACATGCAAATCGGCAGGCCCCTTTTTGCTGTTCATATGCAGGGGCAACCAGCTGAACATGAAGGGACCAGGTTGCTCCTAAGGGCCAGTTGCTGCCGTGGCGTCTTTTGTCTTTAGCCGGGCAGCTCTGGTAGCTTTGTCATATCGGTAATGGGGCCAGTTGAGTCACAGTCTTCCGCAAAGGAAGAAAAACCAACGTGCAACGTGCCTGTTGTGCTTGGATGTGTCATCGGATATGGGCAGAGTGCGGCAAAATGCTGGAGATCATACATTCCCTGCTGCCGCATGGCCTTCGTGCTTCCTTCAGTCTGTCCACACCTCATGTAAAAGCAAGAAGCGATGCTGACAAGCGGGTCAATCCCACGTTGCGGTCGCAACTCGATTTACTTTGACCCTGTTTGCATTCCAACAAAAACACCCAACGCCGATGCCTGACAAATAATGCCTGGTTGATCACTGAGTGTAGATTTCTTAGAAGCTCCCGAGTGGGTGATGCAGGGGTCGTGGAAAACCTCTGCATTCCCTCGGCGATTCTCGGAGCCGGGTACAAATCCCCGGGCTCTAGTGAGAGGATCATCTAGAAAACGATTTGGATGTGGTCTTTGTGGAACCACCCCTGTAAGATATTAAAGAACCTGCGGTAAGAACGGGTGAAATCCACAAAAACAAGACCTACTACTAAATTTAACCCCAAAGAAGGTTCACCCCCAAACAAGTGGGCGATACTCCTTCGGCAACCGGAACAACTCACGTTCACTTGGCCGGCCGAAGCCACCCGGGGGCATCGTCTTCAACCACCCAACCAAGCGTCTGATTGCTGGGCATCCCCAGCCCGGTGGCGGGGGCGGAGGCTGCGCCTGCTGGGGAGCCTCGAAAGAGGGACAAAGGGAGGCTCCCATTCAGCATTGGAGGGGTTTGGAGGGGTTTGGGGGGGTTTGGGGGGGGGGAGTTTGGGGCTTTGGGAGGTTTGGGGGGGGGGGAGTTTGGGAGGTTTGGGGGGGGGGAGTTTGGGGGGGGGAGTTTGGGGGGGGGGTGTGCTTGTTGTTTGGCCCTTGTGAGTTTCGGAGCAACTGGCAAACTGTAGCCGAAATGATCCGCGACGTGTGTGAACTTGGCCAGTGGGTCGGCTCTTTCCTTCAACACGTGCCAGTGTCATCGTGGTAGATGCTATCGGCATCTTTTGTTTCCAAGGCGAAGTGGCCAAGGGCCAATTCGGGAAGTTGAGGTTATTCTTGTCGGCTGCTTGGCAACTGCTCAACGGCGGTTTGCCACATGCTGCGCAACTCGAAGGCTTTGAAATGTCACCAAGAACCTGAAACGTTAGCATATTGCTTCGTTTGCTTCCCGGACGAGGCGGGGTAGTTGAGTTTTGCACAGGTGTTGTTGCAACAATGCGGCTAAACAAGAAGCAGTGACAGTCTTCGTGAACAAAGTTCAGGCAGTCCAGCCTTGCAGGCAGAGGTGGATGTTTGGTGTCAGGTGATCAGGTGATCAGGTGATCAGCTTCCATTTGTCAAGTAACGCCAGCCAAAGGTCATAGAAAGGCTGGGCTTACATCCCACGCTTACTTGCAGTCTTGCATTGCAGGGCTTGATTGAATACTCCTCTGAAGTCAGGAAGGTGTGTGACTTGCAAAGGAGGGAGGGCGCTTGCCCTTGTAACGATCAGTCAAACTGAGCACATCCCACCTTCGCAGTGAGCTTCATGTCGGACCACGCCTCAGAGGTATGGCAGCGGGCGAGTGATGGTTGCACTTGTTCAACTTGGTTTGCCAAAGCGTCCCCCAAGTTTCTTCAAGAGGCATTTCCCTATCAAAACGGAGACAAAAATCATGGAGCCCTGTGCAAAGCATTGGAATTTCTGCGGACACCTGGCAGCGGGGTCTCATGTGACGTCCGAGCACTTTAAACTTGGGGCTGAAAAGGCTCTGAAAACGGAAAGGGCCCTTTGATGAATTACCGTTGCACCAATTAACATGGAACCTGGCAGGGGATCCCTTTAAACGGAAACATGGTCTTCCAGAAGCCCCCGCAAACGTCAGGTTCCGCATTAATTGGTGGGAGGTAGTTGGATCATCCCCTTTTTTGGCACGAAAGACCAACTGGGTTGCAAATAGGGGATCTGTGACCGTCCCATCCAGCACTCGCATTACATCAGCGTGGCTGGCATGCTCGGAGTCACATGGCTGACGTCAGGCGGGGAACTCAATGAGAGGGGCCTTCGTGGCTGTTCGCGTGTTGCCGGATGCGCAGCTTGCCTCACCTGCTCAGAAGTGCCGCCAGAAACACAACCCAGGGCGCCTCTAAATGAAATACATACAGATGTGTCGAGATTGCAAGGACAGCAGGAAATTGAAAGAAGCCCGGCCGGAAACGGGATATCTGAATTCGTCGAAACATGGTGTCAGTTGCTTTGCGGGGAAGATCCACCAATACTGACAGTTGCTCAAATGGGAGGCTGACATCAAAGTGAAGTGCCGTGTTCAAACCCAGAGCCGTGGGTTTGCAAATGTTTGCAGTTACACCTGGCAAATCCCACATAAGGAGCTTCAACATTGGAGAAAACATGTGCGCCAAAGCATACCTGTCATGAGATCTGGTTTTGTATGATGCTCGTTCATTGTGGGCGTGTCGGTTTTACTTTTATGTCAAAATAGAGTGTTTGTTTGGCTTCCCTTTACAAACCACTTAAATGCGTATCCTCACAAACACGTATCACACACCAACAGACACCCCACACATACGCACACGCACGCTTCCTTGGTCTTGACATGGCGTCACTCCAAGCCGCGCGCCGTCTGCGACGGGGGGAGGGCCGGCACTGCGCTATTCCTGAGACAGGGTCCGGGTAACGGGTGGGGAGAAGGTCATGCTACGTCGCGAATCTTTGTGCCTACCTTCCAACGATTTTTCTCCAGGAACCCTTCTTTCTAGAACACCTCCGGCAACCCCGGGAGAAAGCGGATCCGGTTTTTGAGCAGAAGGATGGTAAAAAATAATAATAACAAGATGGAAATGGAATCCGCCCCTACCAGGGGCCTCAAAAAAAATTGAGGATGTTTGCAAAGGCACGCCCAAATCTACCCGATTTTTTGAAGCCCAAGGAGAAACCGCAGCCACCGCGCGCTCCACCGAGCTCCGCGAGACTGGGACTGTGGGACTAGGCCCAAGACATCATTTGCGGAGGCCTGGGACGAGTGCGTGCGTCGGTCGCCCCACCCCCCGCAATTTTCGCGGAGGGGCCGGTGGAGTCTTAGAGAACCACAAGCTCCGTAGGTGTCCTTTTAGGGGGGAAATGGGATGGGTTTCCCTGGATGATGAAACCAGGTAAAAACCAGGAATCGAAACCCATCTGTTTTTCGAGCAAAACCAAAAAGAACACCTCTGACAAGCTCCTTGCTGGGCTTTCCCTGCGTCTTTGCTTTTTATCTGTTGCCGTCCATGTGATGGGCCGTGTCTTGAACCAGAACAAATCCCTAGCTAATGGATATGTGTAACATGGGGGAACCCTCGAAAAGGTGGCGTCCCTTTTGGTCTCCCTTGAAAACAGCCTGAGAAGGGCGCCCTCAAAAAAAGCACGAACAAACAAACAAACAAACAAACAAACAAACAAACAAACACAGACAGAAACAAAGAAAGAAAGAAAAAAAAGAAAAAACACAAAAAAGAAAGAAGAGAAAGAATGAAAGAAAGAAAGAAAAGAAAGAAAGAAAGGTTCAAAGAAACCAGCAAGCAAGCAAGCAAGCAAGCAAGCAAGCAAGCAAGCAAGCAAGCAGACACACACACACACACACACA